CACGCTGGCTTGTAATCGCGAAGACCCATAGAGTCATCTCCATAGTAGCTTGAGAACCATGTCACAAACTCGCCAAGACCAGTCTCCAGATCCGTTGTCGGATTGTAGCTGGGATGCCATAACAACAAAAACACACGGAACAGTGAATGAAAAAAAAAAGAATGATACAGGAAACAATACATGTCAAAAGCGCCATCTGAACGCAGAACAATAGCTGGACATGGCACCTTGTCACCTTTTGAGTTAAAAAAAAAGAAGATTAAGTACAGGTCGAAAATTCCTCAAAATCCTTCCAGGCTCCTTGCAACAGGAATTTGCACAGTTCCAACGACGAGATCCTAAGTAAGGATAGGGTGCTCTAGGGTCCCATAACCATTCTCGCGGGTCCCATAACCATTCTTGCATGACCCTACCGCTCTTGAATTCCATCTGTGATTAGATTTCAATTTTCAACGCAAATGTTCTCTCTCACAGATTTTAATGCTCCGCCGTCAACTCTCTTCTTCAGATCGCTCACTTAAGCACAGGTGTCTCAAACACGTCGAAAATTGAAATCCAATCACAGATGGAAAGCAAGAGCGGTGTCCCTCGGGACATCCGTTAAAATTGGAACGATACAGAGAGAGAAGATTAGCATGGCCCCTGCGCAAGGATGACACGCATAAATCGAGAAATGGTCCAAATTAAAAAAAAAGAAAAAAAAAAGAAAAGAAAGCAAGAGCGGTGGGCTTGGTCTGGCACAGTTTTGCATTCGTATCAGTCTCAGAGAATTTCCCCACCTCTCTTGCTTTCCATCTGTGATTGGATTTCAATTTTCGACGCGTATGTTTTGTCTCACTGTCTCCAGAGCTGGAGAAAATAGGGAAAACTCTTCAAAACTGGCAGTTTTCCCAAACTCCTAAACAATTGGAGGGCGGGCCTTCAATGTTCCGTCAAATCTGAACTCTTCTTCAGATAGAGTGTTTACATATAAGGATCGGGTTCTTCTACTCCACTCTGGGCTGGGTCTGGCACAGTTTTGCTTCCATATCAGTCTCAGAGCACACTCACACTACTGTCTTCCCACGAAGAGAAGGGACGGTCATTACCCTGTACTTGCAACATCTTTCAGTCTATAAACAGTGACAATGAGGGTACATCTGTATCAGTCTCAGAGCACACCAACACTACTGTCTTCCCACGAATAGAAGGTACGGCAGTGTTGCACCCCCCAACGGTCGGCGGCCCTTAACTGGTCGGCTGCTGACCCGCCGACAGATTGGCTGGTCAGCACCTACCGGTCGGGGGTAGTCGGCACCCCGCAATATATATATATATATATATCGTCAAATAGATATATATATATATATATTGTCACATCACTACAAACTAAAAGAGCGCACTTTGCGGAACAAAGAATAAAAACAAAAAACGGGCACAGTGATAACATGCAAAAATAAAAACAAAAAGAAAAAACAAGGGCAGATTGAAACCATTAAATTTCTCATTCTTCTTTGAAC